TGTATTGTACTATTATTATATAATTTGTTACACTGTGGCTGTGTTGTCTGTGTTAAGCTCCTGTTGCACTGCAATTTCCCTCATGGGATCAATAAAGTATCTATCTAAATCTCACTATAAGATATTTATCTTGTACTTCATTTATAATAAAATGGTAAGAAAAAGTCATTTTTAAAAAGTTAAATGTTCTGAATTAATATACCAAGAAATAGGAAATTCTCAATTTAGAAAAAGGAACTTGGTATTTTGATAATACTGAGAGACTACTGTATTGTAGTACATTTACCGCATATTGAGCCCATGCCTGAATATACAGTAGGTGATGAAAATATGCATCATCTTTCTTACAAACACCTCCTGTCAATGGAAATTAACAATTACTCTTGAATTAAACATTTGTTTCTTCAAGTGGACATTGCTGACCGATTATATCATCCCTACAACTGAAATGTGATTTTGTCTCTTGATGCAATAAAATAAAACAAAGGATGGATTTATAATATGAGACAATAAACATTTATCTCAATTTGTTTTCTAGAATTAAAAAAAAATTGCAACACCAATGAGAAAACACAAAAGTTAACAAAAACATTACTGGCGTCTTCACAAGGCAATTAAGCAAACGAGCCTTTACACATAAAAGAACGAACACTGAATGCAGGTTGCAAGGATCAGATATTGACAATTACTAGGCAAACAAATATGTCACCAGTAGATTGTCTGAGAAAAGGCACAACTCACACTTAGTATAAGCATAATTCCATCATTCTAAATGTCTGCTAGTGGAGTGTGAACACGGTACACAAAGAAGATGTCATATTTTCACAGGAAATGTACCCAACTTGCGTTTTGGCCCAGGGAACAAATGGATAAAAAAAAACACAAATCTAAAAAATACAGAGCAAAGTTACTTAAAAAGTAACCTAGCATGGCTTGTTACCAGTACTTAAAGAGGCCAAATGTTCATAATCCTTAACACTGCCTATTAACCCAGAATCAAAATGTCCTTCTTAGCCATTGATGAAAGTGCCATTATTTTTTAAAGCAAACATTATCTGGTAAAAAAAAAAGATCAGAACACGATCAGTCTTACCTTCCACCTTCTTCAGCAGTGTCCACACAACCCACAAGATGAATAAGTTGTTGGGCAATAAACTCTTTTTTCATCAGGTTTTCTACTTCACTGAAATCTGACTTTTGCTTTTCATCCAGCACTGGGATGCTCTTTATATATCTGCAAAATCAATTTTTGTCTTCTTACATGGTGCAATAAATGGTGCAATTACTTGAAAAGGTTGAATGCCTACCAGACTATGCAGATAACATTAATATCCTTACAAATGTATCAGAGCTACAAAGTGTTCCACGGAGCGGAGGCTCTGTAGATAAGGATCAGCGCCTGTGGCTGGATGGTGGCCGGTTCAAATCCCATAGTCGGCAGAGGAATCCTACTCCCTTGGGCCCCTGAGCAAGGCCCTTAACCCCAAGTGCGCTGTACAATGGCTGACCCTACACTCTGACCCCAGGGTCTCTCCCTATCTGTGTGTCTGTGTGTCTCATGGAAAGCAAGCTGGGGTATGTGAAAAGACAAATTCCTAATGCAAGAAATTGTATAGGGCTAATAAAGAGATGATGATGATAGTCCTTTACATAGCCATGACGTGGATACATTCCTACATCCGAGCCTGTGGCTGGAAGGTTGCCGGTTCATATCCCGCGGTCGACAGAGGAATTCACCCAGCTGCTCCAAGGGTGAAGGGCCCTGCACTCTGACCCCAAGCTTCTCTCTTTATCCCTGTCTCATGGAGAGGACGACAGAGGAATCCTACTGCGTTGGGCCCCCCAGCAAGGCCCTTAACCCCAGCTGCTCCAAGGGTGAAGGGCCCTGCACTCTGACCTGAAGCTTCTCTCTCTATCACAGCAAGTTGGGGTATGCGAAAAGACAAATTCCTAATGCAAGAAACTGTATATGGCTAATAAAGTGATCTTCTCTTATCTTTAGGTTTAATAAGTTAATGAGTTACTTTGCAGCTAAAACAATATTTGATATATTTTGGAACGGTGTCCTATTCAAATGCATGGATTGTACTTGGGGTGTTCTGGGGGTGGTTATATATGAGTTAGAAAATTTTATATGGGATACCATTGGTATTTATTTTTTCCATTTATGAATTTTTATCTAACAAAAAGTTTTCAGTACATACTGTAAGTTAAGTTTCTAAATTTAAGGATGACAATATTTCCTACTCTAAAAGATTTGTTTTAACATTTAATATTAACTGATACTTTATATCACACATTGCAATTATCTATATAATTATTCTTAAAACAAACCACTTATACAGTAGCTGCTACTAGGGCTGGGCGATATGACCTCAAATCAATACCACAATAATTTCACACATTTACCTCAATAACGATAATTTGTTTTGAAACCCTTGAAATTATACGATTATATGATGTGCTGAAAGATCATGTTTTAAATATGCTAAACTATTAAAGCTACACGCACCTCATCTTAGCTCAATGTCTTACAAATAATGCAGTATGTAATGGCACCAGTTATCTCATTCCATCTGCGTGAATCTTTTGCATATTGAGTGGCATGAGTAAGTGCTTGTGTTAGAGACAGCTGTTTGGCGGAATCAATTTGGCCATGAGTGCGCTTGTCAGCCTCTCTCTTTTCTTGGCCATGCACTCTTTGTATTCCACGACATGGTTGTTCCAAGTGATGAAACAAGTTGCTCGTGCAACGTTTGTCGGAAAACCGTTTCTGCGCCCGGAGTTTACATCTGACTTCTCTTTGTTCAGTATCCTGTTTGCTGAAGCCAAAATATGAGCCAACGATCGACACTGCATCTTTTTTAGATACCAGCTGGTCTTCATTTGTACTTGAGTCATCCCTGCCTGACTGGGGTTCAGCATAAGCGCTCGTGTTGTCTCACGCCCGGCACGCTTCTCTGTGTTTCGAATGAAGAATGAAGGCTGGATGAGGCAGAAGCATGTGACTGGATATGATGACTGGGTGTTGTAGTTTTTTTAAGGGGACTGCTCATGAAAGCGCACAGTGGAGAAAGCTTTTACCAAACATACCGACATAAGCAAAATTAGGTCAGTGAGAGATTCTTAACGTTGGCATCGGTACATTTCCGGTATAATCGCCCTGCCCTAGCTGCTACACATTCATAAAGTCAACAGGAAAATCATTTTTTCTGTAGCACATGCACTGAAAGTTTATGGACCAGACATGACTAACATGTCATTACCAGGGATGATCACCTGGAGGTCTACTGTGACAGCCAGGGTTAGCAGCATGTGTGGTTATGGCTATTGTAAATCTGCAACACATGCTTTGCAGCAGCTTGCAGTAATAAATACAGATAGATAGCGATAAGCAATACTTCAGATACTTGGTATATGTTGGATTAAGGCTTTTGGTAAATACAGGAATTTAAAAGATAATACTTACACATAAAGGTACTGAGCATATATGGCTGCTTCAGGTAGTAGCTGCTCTAACACGTGTTCTCCCTCATCTCCCTTGGACTTGACATACTCACAGAGAGCCCTCCAGTACAGAGTGTTTTCACAGGTTAGATTTTCTGCAGATATAAGTTTCCTGTTGGAAGCAGTTAGGCAGGCTTATTAAAAAATAATAAGAGATGAAAACAGATCAGGAACTTTGAGAATTATATACTTTCAAAAGGCAGACCAAAAAACCACAACAATAAAAATTCAACCGAATTCAAATTTTACAGATATAAATACTAAATGTTGCATTTTTTTTCTAGACAAGTTTTAACAAGAGCTTTAAGGTTCATTTAAAATTTGAAAAATTTTACAGGAATGGGTAACTTTAAAACAAAAATCTTTTCCCTCCATTAAAAAACGTACTTTTACGAAATGTTTACCAATTATTTTTCATAATAGAAGAAAAACATTCTCCTTTTGAAAAAACAATATATTTTTTCTTTCTATGCTTCTCAAATTGGGAGCACCAAATGCTAACCAGTTCTACTTAAACACCATGCATCAAATTGTTTATGACTAAGTTAGAGATATCCCCTCATACATCTATGTATGCAATGGGTTAGAGTGGGGATCCATGACGGGATCCATGGCATCACAGTCAGATGGCAAAATACACTGGTCACTGAAGCCTGACAATCCAAAAATACCTTTGCTGACTCAAAAACCCCCTAGTCTGGCAATACTGGCCCATTTAATGCTCTGACCAGGATTCCCGTCAGTCAGCTACCCGCAAAATAAGTTCACAAATTAAAACTGTGGCACTATAAACGGTACCACATTGAATATTATTGTAATTGTATCCTTGTAAGCACATACATTATGAAAACAAAATTGTGGAGAGGTGTGCGAAATTCAAGTTGAACAAAACAATCTATTGAAATGTCTAAGTAAAAATGAAATTCTGAAGACCTGCTATCCAAGTTCTCGCAGTCTTTTAGAAGGTCATCAACAGATGATAATGAAAACATGGCATTCAGAGCTGCCACCGCTGCTTCTGGACAGTTCTCCACATCCAGCCTGTAGAGCAGCTCCAGAACATTTCCTTGAGAAAGCCGGAGCCAAGCCTGCAGGAGCTTCTTCTGAACAACTTCTCTTACAGCCTCTGAAAATAACACCCAGTAGCTCATAGTCATTAGAAGAATGAACAGATCCTAACCAAAGTGTCATCAAACCCTTTTCCAAACTTCCTATGCATGAATCCATTCTACATGGCGATGTAATTCACCTGATCTATCGTTCAGTCCTTGCTCCAGAAGTTTGACTCTCTGTGCAATACTCAAAGCCCTTACATGGACTTTTTCAGCCAGGACCTAAAAAATATATTCCAGGTTAATTTACTTATACAGTATATCATCACATTTTGTATACTTATACAATTTTAAAAATGCTAAAAGAACAAAAAGTGTGTCATGTACTAGTATTGCAAGAACAAACCAAAATCATTTATTCTCTAGATTATTAGAATTGCTTCAAAATTCCTTTAAATTACAAATTATTTTTTCAAGAATGTTAATGCTATGTGCAACACTGCTGAATCTGAAGCAATTTAAAACCTACAAGAAATTTTACCTGGTAAGCCAGTTTTCGAACGCTTTCCTTCACATCTCTAGTGCGTTTAACAATTTTTGGAAGTGTCTTGGCACAGGGAGCAATACAAGACAGTGCAGCTCGTCTCACCTCTGGGTTTGAGTCATTCTCAAGCAACAGCATATAGGCTTTGAAATGAAGAAACAAAGATTATTCAAGCATTTGGTAGAAACATGCCACATTGAAATTTACTCTTCAATAAAAAAGGAACAGAAAAAAAAATGTTAACGCACAAAACTGTTTAAAGCTTTCCATGACATATATGCGTCTACACCAAGAATACTACTGACTTAATTCTGTAACATGTTTTGTATAGAGCTGGCAACTAGAGGGCATGTTAGACCCGCTTTTGTAACACTGATATCCTGTTGATGAAAAGCACCACTTGATGAAAAACACTATCTAGCAACAAATATTAGGCTTAATAATTTTTGGTTTACCTTTAAGTAAAAAAAAATGCTTATAAAAAACAGATTTATATGGGGGAATTTTTCTATAACTTTTAAGACTGCATTAAAAAATGTTTTTAATGCAGATTGTCCACAAATCAAGACAAACTATAAGAAGCCTTGGTCAAGTACCACTGACGACTGCCATGTATCATACATAGCCCTTGAATTTCCCTTTACCTCCTAGATGAAATGAATAATTAGCAGTGAAAGTGCTTCACGGAATTTTAAATCAAAATGTAGATACACGTATCATAAAACGAGTGATATTACCAACCATTAATAGTGGGGCAGTTCTCATTCTGTGGCTCTTGAAGTCTAGTCATGGCCAAAGCTGCTTGGATCCTGACATTTGGAAACTTGTCTTTCACTCTGATCAGCATAGACTCATGAATACGGTCAAAGAGGTCTTCATCAATTTGAGCATTTTCAGCCATGCTTCCCAACAACTTATTGATAAGCTGACAAACACGGAACCGAACTGCATGGCTGTTGGCATCGTGGGACTACGAAAATTAAAAAAAAAAGCAAAGTAAAGACAGCTGACCAACCTTTTTATCTAACTCAGGCATCTCATTAAGCCAAAAACACTCACAAAAACAAATTTTTAATAACATAGCATGGTGAATTAGCATGGATATTATGGTTCAGAATTTGCTTGTGTGCATAATCCAGAAATACCAAGATTTATATAAAAAACACAAAATAATTTGATATACCAGTTGAAGCAAAAAGCAGTAGTTCAAGTAAAAACCCACACTTTGCCAGCACACTGTTCACGAAACTTTTAAAAAGTCAAAGCAGTATAGTTTACTATACTGTAAATAGGCACCGTCCTTTGGATGAGACATAAAACCAAGGTCCTGACTATCCGTGGTCATTAAAAACCCCAGGGTGTTTCTCGAAAAGAGTAGGGGTGTAACCCCAGCGTCCTGGCCAAATTTCCCATTGGCCCTAATCAATCATGGCCTCCTAATAATCCCCATCTATGAACTGGCTTCATTACTCTTTCTCCTCCCCTCTGATAGCTGATGTGTGGTGAGCGTTCTGGTGCACTATGGCTATCGTTGCATCATCCAGGTGGGGCTGCACACTGGTGGCGGTGGAGGGGAGTCCCCATTACCTGTAAAGCACTTTGAGTGGAGTGTCCAGAAAGGTGCTATATAATTATAAACAATTATTATTATTATTATAAAGCTACACATTCATACCTTTAGCAAAAAGGTAAACAAGTAATTCAGAAAAGGGTTTTCTTCTTCCTCACTCTCTTCCAACACTTCCTCATTCTCCACCGGTTCTTCAAAACTTGTAGCAAACTTTGCAACAAAGTCGATCACATTCTCAACAGCTGGTTCTCGCTTATAAACAATCATGGGGTACTTCAGATAATGAACAAACTCTTCATGGAAGATGGTTTTGTCTTCCAGCTAAACAAAAAAGTAGATTACATAAAGGAATTATCGTTTGCAATAGTTATTTTTACAATTATCTCTTAGTTAAGACTATACGATTAGCAATTGTATCCAAAACAAAAGGGTATTACAAAATATTTACAATATACAGCTCAGCATAGGCAATTTTTAAAAAAGAAAGCCAGCCAACCAAATGACTAAATGCTTACCACAGCACCACTGTGCCACTCTTGTATACACATGAACTATATAAATAAAATCTAGTGAGATATTGCATTATAAACAAACAAAAGCTTTCAACATTTTGAAATGGAAAATGACATAGCTTGAACAACAGTAAGAGGATCAGGTGATATTTAGGACATCTCCATCCTGATTGCTGCACAGCGAAACATATTTATGTCACCTCTTTCTTAAGTGCAGGAAAAAATCAAAAGGTTTTTCTTAATTTACATCTTTAAATTACTAAATTTAATGTCATCTGCTAAACTAAGAATAAGAACTTCATTTCATGGGTATCTATAAAATGTATTGGACTGGGCCTTTCCAGACCAGGAGGTGAAATCCAATGTCTATAGTCATGTCCACTTTTTAGTTACAAATATGTTTTAATGAAATATACTAAAATGAATACAAAATATACCTGCTTTTTTCATTTCTAAATCTAACTGAAACCAGAAATAAAGTGAATCTCACAAAAAAGACAAGTGAATAATAAGCTTGCTGTCATTTACAGACGTTGCAGGTTTTAGCAATGGAAATGATGTGCAGTTAACAGAATAAACACATTAGCAGTTAAAAATGAAATCATTACCTCGTTATATTTGCTCTTCAAAGCAGCTACGAGTTTGGCTTTGTTGTTGTGACCCTTCTGAGCCTTTTCATACGTCTCTTTAATAATATCCTTGATTTCCGTCATCTTTGTGTTGCTGGGGGAAGGAGAAATGTTTCACAAAGGACCAAATTAAAATGAAGAATTAGAATAGGGAAGAGGTAACAAAACAAAAAGTGTATACATATATATGCCTATAATGTAATTAACTAGTAACCCAGACTAGTCATCGGCATTATTTTTTTGACAATTCTCCTAGATGTCACCACACCTTCATTTACTACCACAAAACAGAGAAACAAAATCGATAATAAGACTTGTTTACTTCGAAAGTTACAATCCACCTTTAAAGCCATTTAAATGTATAATTAATATCGATTAAACCATATCTTATGGCGTAAAACAGGCAGTATATAGCAAACGTGTTTTGAAATGAAATCGATCAACATTTAGTGTTCAGATTATAAATTACAATCTTTTGAAGTGGAGTAACTAGTTACTTTGTGTAAGTAGATTGTCGACGTTGCGGTCGTAGTTCCTGAACATTATTTATTAACGAGCATAAACATTTACCTACAGTTAGGTTATCCTTACCTAAGATAAGATGAAGACCGAGAAGATGCTCGCTGTAGTTATTATATGTCTATGTTTTACTCTACTGCCAGTTTTCGAATTTAATATCCGTTTAAAAAATAAAGACACATTTAAATTCCGGCAAGTCTTACCTCTTTTCCTTCCTCTAAACCGCCAATTTTCAAAAACAAGCCTTTTCTCGCGAGAAAGTAGACGAGATCTCAACTCACCCGGCCCCTTTTCCTCTCACACTCTGTGAAATTGTTTCAAGGTACGTTTCACAAAAAATGTAAATAAAACAAAATATACATAATACAGCGAACTTTGAAGGTTTATCTGTTAACAGAATGTATTACAAGAAAGCACTTGTAAATTAGAAATGGCAACAGAATACTTGGGCTATTACAATATTTCTGGTGCTGTAGCGTCTACCCGCCGCGAGGTGGAGATGTAGGACAGTGAAGCTTTTGGACTGAGTCGGATGAGTATTTTTGTATTTTCAAATTCAAATTCGACGAGCTTTATTGGCATGACCGATGCACTACAATGTTGCCAAGCAGAAACAAAAAAACACTGCATTTACATTACAAACATATCCCAGTACAGTTGCGTACTGTTACAGTTACAGTTATTTTAGGGAAGAATGTTTACCTAATCCCAGACTATTTCTCACAGTGCAACGGAAAGTGGATCTCTGTCACTGCTTCTCCCCGCTGGCAGTGGGAGCATAGCCTGTCCTCTCTGGGCATCGGGGTCTGCCTGTGTCCAGTTTCTATAGCCAGGCTGTGGTCACTGAGCCTGTACTTTGATGATGTCTGTTTCTCTATTATGCCTCTTATTCTGGTCAGATGCTCAGCTAGTGTGTAGCAACATAATGTCCGCCACTGTAATATGTTTGAACCTAGGACTGGAGAGCACAGCTATAACTGAGCCCTTTTGTAATAAAAGCTTTGAACATACAATTGTTTCATTTTATTCTTCTGAGCGTGTGTGAGCACATTTAACTGCTCAAATGCATCTGCTAACAACAATGCACAGTATGTATGTAAATACCTCAAGTAACTACGATTAGTTGATTTTCAAAAGCCATAGGAATCCAGGGTAGTGTATGAACGTTGATCAGAATTAAATTATGGGACACTGGACAGATATAAGCAGTGGAGTGCCACAGCACCATTATGTACATCAAAGGTTTAGATGTTACTATAATTAGAAAAACATTTGCAGATTATACACTTATAGGTGGAGTGGCACACACAGCGCCAAGGAAGTTGAAGCAAAGCATGGAGAATGTCATGGAGGTAACATTATGGAGAAGTTAAGGGAGCAAAATCTCTTCAGTCCACAAAACAGGATGTTTCTCAAGTGTATAGGGTCCTAAGTGGTACAGATATGTGTAACGCAGTAGCAAAACAAGGACAAATTGCCATAACTGTAGACTAAAATGGAAGGAGGGTGAATGGGAAATGTTTTTTTTATATACAAAAGAGTAATGAGTATCTGATCTTCCCAGCCAGGTTTTAACACCCAAACTCTGGAGAGTTCTAGTCTCCCTTAACTACTAAACAACCAAACAAGCAAGATAGCCAAATGGTCTCTTCTCATTTGCAGTCTTTCTTTATGCAATCATGTTGTAAACAGGAAAAATATTCATCGTAAGTAGAAGAACACCACAACTCCAAGCAGCACCCTTCCTGTACAGCTTTTGCTCCTCAGTCTGTAATTCCTTGGTCTGGATTTGTGGATTGGTGATAGAGTCAACCCACCTTGTTTGTGAATTGATGCTCTGTCAAGTGGGATTTACCCTGTATTAAATAGCAGATAAAATATTTTTTATATATAACATCCCTTGTTATCTTTAGTTCACTTCATAGAAAATCATCAGGCCCTAAACATTTGTCTTATATAACTGCTATATTATTCACATTATTTTAAATTTCCAGCAATCCTTTAGCCTGTAACACTTTCACTTCTTCTTGCTAATACTATCTTCCTCGCCTCCTGGAGTGTGACTGCAGTGTTGGGGAAGATGGGGAGATTCGGAGTATCCTTCTCTTGTTGGACCTTCAAGTACCTAACAGCTACCATCCCACTTATAATTTGCATTTTCTATCAAAAATCCGTGAACAAACAAAAATAGTCTCATCCTGCCTGTTAATGAGCTCTTTAAACCTATGCGGTCAAGGGTTAGACAGAGATTAAGCACAGAAGCAGCCTTTGTTAAAGTAGTTCCTGATTTGCTGATGGTTTGTGACCTTCAGCTGCTTAATATTCTTCTTCTGGATTTAAGTGCAGCTTTTGATACTGTCAATCCAGGCATCCTACTAAATAGCATGTAGAACTATCTAGGGATTAACTAGGTTGCCTTTGTTGATTTGGCTCCTACAGTATATGGCTCCCAGGAGCAAATTTAGCGATCTGGTCTGGTCTGTTTTAAATTTAATGTTATCCCACTTACTCAAAGTGTTCCAACAGCTCTGTGCTATGAACTTTTTTTTTGTACTGTATTGATATTTTTAATCTTGGGTGGATTCTTGGGATTCACTGCTATGCTGACAACACTCCGATTTCCTTGCAGGTCAAATCAGATTCTACTGCGGTGGTTTCTGCACTCCATAGGGTATTTGTATGATATTAACATAAAAAAACCTGAACATTTTGAGACTGTGATTTTAAAGCTAAACTGTTTTTTAAGCTAACTACCACAACTGTTAGATGTCCCCCTCTTGTTTGTAAACTTTCTTACATTCTTGTGTTGTTATGTGTCAAGACTGTACTTCCATGCAGTTTCCAGTTGTGTTTTCTGGTTTGTGTTTCACTGTTGATTCTGAAGAAGTCAGTTTGATTCTGATATGATAGTTTACAATATACTTAGATGGGCTGGTTAGGTATGAAATCAGTAGAAAATTGATGGCTACAGCTTAAAGATATTCTGCTTGAAGCACATAATAGATTTAGCTCACAAATATAATACCAATGCATTCTGTATTTTGCCAGAAGGATCTGTATTAGGACCAATACTTCTTAATTTTTAGCAGATCTAGGTTCTGGTACATTCAGTGAGCTATACCATTTCCAGTTAGATGTGAAGAAACAATTAAAAATACTCAATGTTAGGATATGAAGTTAAAGTGTAGAATCCAAATCATGGGATATTATTTTAAAACTATACAATGCACTTGAAAGATCGCATTGAGAATACTGCATACAATTTTGGTCAGCACATTACAAAAAATGTATTTCTCCTCCGGAATTAATAACAGCAGGAGAGACCAGAAGTATTTCTGGACTTTCTGGGATTTTCCTACATTGACTAGCTAACAGAACTGAAGCCTGTGTGTTATTCCATTGTTATAGCCAGCAGCCATATCACCCTGCAACTCACAGCTGGCAACCCACTGAAGCTCAGCAGGTGTGAGCCTGGTCAGTACCTGGTTGGGAGACCTCCTGGGAAAAACTAAGGTTGCTGCTGGAAGAGGTGTTAGTGGGGCCAACACGGGGCGCTATGCCTGCAGTCTATGTTTGTCCTAATGCCCCATTATAGTGACAGGAAGACTATTCTGTAAAAAGGCACCATCCTTTGGATTAGATGTAAAACCAAGGTACTGACTTTCTGTGGTCATTAAAAATCCAAGGGCTTTTCTTGAAAAGAGTAGGGGGTCCTGGCCAAATTTCCCACTGGCCCTTACCAATCATGGCCTCCTAATAATCCCCATCTTTGAATTGGCTTCATCACTCTGTTTTCTTCCCCACTAATAGCTGATGTGTGGTGAGCGTTCTGGCGCACTATGGCTGTACATTGGTGGTGGTGGAGGGGACCTGGTTGCCCTACATTCTATCATTCAATCTTATGTCAGGGCAATCTAAGTTCTTCTTTATTGTTGTCCTTCTTTTACTTCTTATTGTATTTTTTTAAATTTTCCCAGCATTCCTGGGTTTCCAAAGGCTCTTAATTATTAAACATTGTTGTTGTTGTTGTTCCTAAAGGCACTGACAAAGCCAGTCCTGTGGTCTTCTCAAATGTTGCTTTATTGGCCCTATACAATTCCTTGCACTAGGATTTTGTCTTTTCGCATACCCCAGCTTGCTCTCCATGAGACACAGACAGGGAGAGAAGCTTGGGGTCAGAGTACAGGGTCAAACATTTATACAGCACCCCTGGAGCAGTTGGGGTTAAGGGCCTTGCTCAGGGGCCCAAGGGAGTAGGATTCCTCTGCCGGCTGCGTGATTTGAACAAGCAACCTTCCACTCAGAGCCACAGATCCTTAGCTATAGAGCCACCACACCGCCGAGGAGGAGGTACAAGTAAAAGTGGGAGTCTGGAACAAGTTACCCGGCCCTGCCATTGAAACTGAGCCCTTGGCTTATTTCAGGAAACAACTGGAGGAAATCCTAGAATCAATTGTCTCCTATCAACCAAATTAAGCTAGATGGGCCAAATGTTTTCTTTCAGTTTTAAGATTTCTTTGTTTTTATACAACATTTTTTACCCTGCTCTTCCTATAAATATACCACTTGTATGTGCCAGAATTGTGGCGTGCGAATGGGAATGTGTAGGTGAATATTTTTTTCCCTCTTTTTGCCAACGAGCTTTTGTTTAAAAACTAAAATTTAACCAAATTTAAAACCTTTGCTTTTAAAAAACAAACTAGACAGACCTGTACAGCAGCAGAGGTATGCATTTCATCTGATTAAATGAAAGGGGGCACTTGAATCCTAAATACTGTACATTTTTTTAGAAAGCAGTGTCTTTAAATTTCAAAGGTTTTAAAGAGATCTTTAAAAAAAATTAGCAGCACTTCAGTTATGGATTTCAACAGGTAGCACACATACTGTATACAGTATCTCCACTGGACTGTTTTCCTGAACAGTAGTTGGACAAATGCACATTGACTACTAACATTGACTAACATCAATGACGATAATGCATTATAAAGAATTCCATTCCATTAGAAAAGGATGTGGAAGAACCAGCAGTATTACTCCCAGTTGTTCTGTTTATGTAGCTTGTTTCAAAACCTTTAAAATAGCTAGGTGGATGATGGTTTAATAGGCACCAAGACCAAAAAAGTTACACTGAATATGTGTAAATAGGCTCCAACAAGCAATAAAACCAGTCTTTAAAACTATACAATGTAATAATAACAACGTTTCCTATATAGTATACTATAGTGTGAAGTACAGTATATAGTTGTGAGAAACAAGGGAATTGTGGGCTTGTGTACTCAAACTGTGTCATTTTCAACAGCTATCTTAGTTGTTGTGATGTCCAGCAATCTCAGCTGCAGGATAGTAATATTACACTTTAACTAATCATATTCTCCTCACTTGTCCAACGACAGGTGCCTGGAACACATGTTTTCATTACAGGGATCCTATACCCCCCCCCCCCAAAAAAAAAGTTAGACTACTGTCTCGCAGTGTCCGCAAAGGAATGTTTAGTATCCAAGTACTGTAGGGTTCTGGCAGCAGATGTGAGAAACTTGGTGATCATGTAGAAGAAACATTCAGCCTTGCAGGCGCTGTTCTTCATTCACAACGCAGCATTTTTTTTTTAATGAAAGATGTCAGGCACCTGCAAAATAACGAGGGATCATTCGGTCGTTTGACGAAATTGTTCCCTGTATGTGGATGTTTTGCAGCAAATGAGCAAGAAACTTCCTGAAGGAGAAGAGGTGAGATGGCTTCAAGCTCCAATAAAACAACGCAGCCTGGAGGAGCATGCAACGGGACTGCTGCAGACTATACTAACATAGAGCAGGAGCTGTACGACTACCAGATGCACATGAAAATGTGTAAAAAAATCGCACAGCTAACCAAGGTAAGGTAAAGGTTTTGCAGATGGGGTGTTTTACGAGGGGGTGTCATTTGTGCCGGTGTGCGAACGCTGAATTCTTTAAAAAGAATTCAGCGTTAGCTGACGACAATGATATTTAAAGTTAACCGTATTTTGAGTAGTCTGTAGAAAACCAAGTTAACACTTTATGTGTGGCGTCACGTAATCACATTATGCATTCAGTGTAGACAGATCAACGGATACAAAGTACCCTGCAAGACGTTGGGGGTCAAAATATCGCATTGCATCGCTAAAGCGATTTTTAAAACTTTTTTTCTGTATAGTCGATAAACCGCAAAAGAAAAGTTTGCATATGCATGGTTATGCAATAGGGCTAGAAAAAATGCATGCGTTTCCATAATAATGGGGCTATTTGTAATTCTTGTAAAATTTACAAGGACTAAGCAATGTCAGTATTTTTTTCATTTTCTGCTCTTGTAGTTGTTCCAAATCCTACAAATCGGTAATGATAACATGCAAAGTGCAAATTATCTCTCGTGAATATTACAGAAATCACTGACTTCCACACGCAGACTTGTTATTGGGTAGTACGAGGACAGACGGCTTCATAATAACACAGTGTTTCGTCTTTATTAATGGTGAAAGCTCATCGTACCCGTTGTGGTAAAAGTCATACACAAAAACCCGTGTTAAAAAAGGCATCAGCTTCTTGTTCCGTAGTACACATCTCAGTCTCCAAATGTTTTTTACTGCTGCTGAATCATCATTCCTGATGTATCGTCTGAAAAAAGGGAAGATTTTTGTAATTAAGTAGATATATTTTAACTACTAGAACGGATCCTCAAATGTTCGAAATAAAAGCCTACCTGATTAAATGGCCCGTTGGTGCCATACTGAGCTTGACAGAACTGCAGTGTGTTGTAATGCAAAAACTGTAATAGAACACAAGACACGCTGCAAACGAGAGAAGGGCATTTGGTACATCTGCATAATTTGGTTGCTAGCAGCTAATTGATTCTAGCATTCCATCCGTTTCTTAAAATAAGTTCGGTTCCCTCATGATTTGTCCCAAACTCCTAAAACCCTTGCCTGTGAAAATGTGTTTTCTATTCTTAGTTTTAGATGCACTTGCTTCCCATTTACACTTTTCATTCTCTGAATTATATTTCAATGTGGATTCTGACAAAATCCACAGGGTCAACTTTGTCACTTCATTTTCTTCAGATTCTATAGTGTGTGCTTATCCTTCTGTGTTAGTATGATGCACAATCATGACTAGAATCTAGATCTGGTCCAAATACAGGTTCTTGTGGTACTCCACAAATTACGTCATCCCAGTTGGAACAGTCTCCCCTCAATCTGCACTCTGTTTCCTATCAGTATCCCAGTATATATGCATTACTTTGAATACAGTACATGCCACCTGTAATTTAGAATTAACCCTTTATGTGAAAATGTATTTATAGCATTCTGGAAGTTTAAATGTATATACTCATATGCTCTTTACCTATTATTGCTTCTACTGTACATGTTCAAAGAACTCTAAAAAGATAACTTCTTGACCATAGACTATACTTTAGTGGAGTTCCTGTGGAATGTAGCATAATCTCAAATATTCCAAACAGGCTGAATGTACTTCCTTAATGTGAAACCGTTCTTATTGATAAAAATATATAAAATAATTATAATATCTGTGAGTATGTTGAATTAATTTTGAAATTGGGGTTAAGTGCTTCATTGCTGCTTCACACTGCTGGGGCCCTGAGTTTAATTCCTGGGGTGCTATCTGTGTGGGGTTTATATGTTTTCCCCTTGTTCGCATGGGTGTCCTCCTGGTTTCCTGCCACAGACCAAAGACATGCTGGTAGGTTAATTGGTTCTTGGAAAATTGGCTCTAATTTGATAGTGTTTACATTTGTGTCTGTGTGTGCCCTGTGACGGACTGGTGTCCTGTCCAAGGTGAATCCTGCCTTACGCTCATTGCTTGCTGGGATACACAGTCCTATAATTTGACTTTATTTTGTTCTTTAGATTTTAGTTTTTTAGCAATTAATATGTCTGAATAGACAAAATTAGAATTTTAATGAATTCAGGTTTTAGCTTCTGTTCATCAAGATTATTAATACATGTACAGGCTGCTGCTCTTCTGGTTGGCCTGATTTAATACTTTGATTGCACACTATTCCTCTGACTATCAGCTACCTATAATTTTTTAACTGTACTGCATGTAGACTAAAGCTCTGAAATCATGGATTAGTATCACAAACACCTCGAACTTGAGAAGACAAAAGGTCTCACTACTACATTTTTAAATCATAGATGAAACCTGTAACTAATTACTTTTTAAGAGAGTATGAGTATGATATCTTGCTTGCTGGGACAGGTTCCAGCTCCCCCACGACCCTGTATTGAATAAAATGGATGTATGAAAAATAAATTGTGCCTTCATGAGTACACATGAGAGACTGACCAATCTTGACTATTGACAACACAACACTCAGGCAGTATTCCTTGATATGCCGATACACAGCTGACACACATATTCCTTAACACTTTTTCCATGTGTGGTGAAATTAAAACAATTTGCTGTACAAATATTTACCAGAATACCATTCTCTATACTAAACTAAGTGAAGGAATGGTATTTCAGTGCAAATCCTGAGTACAGGATATTTAATCTGTAATGTTTGGGGGTGATGTTATTAGTAATGTACCACAGGGATATGTCCTAGGACCAATCCTTTTCCTCATCAAAAAGATTTAGACACAATTCAACTGACTGGGCAGACAGTGTTAAAGGTAAACAAGAACTGTACATGGAGGTCACAAAAACATAACATATGATGAAAAATGGGAAACACTGAGCTAGAAGAAAGATCACTTTATTATCCCTATAAAATTTCTTGCATTAGGAATTTGTCTTTTCACATACCCCAGCTTGCTCTCCATGAGACACACAGACAGGGAGAGAGAAGCTTGGGGGCAGAGCTCAGTGTCAGCCATTGTATCTTACCCCTGGAGTAGCTGAGGTTAAGGTTCTTGCTCAGGGGACCAACAGAGTAGGATTCCTCCACCAGCCACGGGATTTGAGCCGGCAACCTTCCAGCCACAGGCGAAGATCCTTAGCCATAGAGCCACCGCTATTCTTAATTGGCATTTAAGGCATAAACCCTGTTCTTGGGAATTTGCTGTAGCTCTTTCGCCCATTAGGTGTTCCAGTATGTTATTTAATTTTTTAGATTTTTCAATTGGAGAAGCAATGAGTCCGGTAACCAGGGAAATCCAAAAAAACAAATCCAAACAGCATGGTCGAAAAAGGCAGGAGCAAAGATTAGGAACCAGGAGATCAGCCAAAAACGTTGAAACACACACAAGAGGAATACTACAGGAGGCTTCCCAATAGTGAGTATGGGATGGTGCGTGAGGGAACTTTAAATTCTGAAGGGAGAGGGATGTGGAGAGGGACGTGGTTGGAGTGAGAATTTGTGGAATCTGGTGCCTGTGAGAATGTGGTGGGTTCAGTTAGGAAAGAGATCGTGAAGCAGTGGGTTTGGGAATGTAATGGCGTTTGCGAAGGAGAGTGCAGGGCGTGACATAATCCTTACGGCTTTGTAATAAAGGACAAGATCAGCCCATTGAAGAATTAAGCTATGCAAGTTTTGACCTCAAAAGAAAATAAATATGTGGTTGTCTATGCAATTGTCAGTCCCTGAAGACTATTTGAAGAATATGACTGAAAATTTCTATGGAAAAACTGGGTCTTAATTTATATTGTGTTAAAAGTATAAATAAAGATTGAGGCTTTGCTCCCACTGGGTACAATTAAAACATGCATTAATACATTCTTTTTTCTTCTAGCACAGGTTTTAATGCCTATTTTGAAATTCAGGATGTGTGATATGTTTTTTTTATTTTCAGAGCTGTTTCCATAGAAATATACTCTGATTACACAGGAAAGCTTTGAAAATTAGGCCCTTAGTGTACCAGAGCCTGTCTTTTCAGATATGTTTCAGAGACTTCGCAACATGATCCACTGTATGATCAAGTCAGACAGTCCGTCCACATCCTACTTTGAAGATAGTGAGTGGGAATCAGAAACAGCTCTTGGAAAAACATGCTGAAAAGAAAAGAAAAGAAAAGAAACACAACATTTCAGTTGTGGAGCCTTCTACCACACGCAAAGAAGGCTCCACAGCCAAAACTCTGTGTTTCTTACCTTCTCTTTTCAGCATGGAAAGAACCTTTACTTGTTCCTTTGCAGCCTGCGCATGCTGACGCAGCTCCCTACTTGAACTACTTTAAAAAAACATGTGTGTGTAGTGTCAAAAGAGCACAGACTCAGTCATCTAAGACAGTATCTCCAAACCTGGAGGACTGTTTTTAGTCTTTACACAAAGTCCAGAAGGTCCCACCCAAAAAAACTGTCCCCGAGGTGAGTGAATATTGCTTCTTGACATAAAAACATAAAGAAATTACACAGGATGCCCACATTCTCTCTCACTCAGAAGTCAGTTTTGATTACAATACATTGTATACCTGGAAAGGGCTCCCTATATAATAAAGATTATATTGGGACTTGAGTTAAGTGTCAGATAGGTATCTGATGACTTATGTTATAAATGAGTTATGACCTATGACTTTGTATGGCTTAGCTGCATCTGGCCGAAAGTTCCACTTCTGCAGTCTATGTGTTTGCAACTCTGGAATAACAAGTCTATTTTCCCTAGAAACTTGAGTTCTGAGGGAGAGCCAAAAAGAGGAATGCAATGCTTTTGACAAAATTCTGACACACAGAAATGTGACTGCTGAATGTCTAACTTGGTGGTAACTGTCATCTATGATCAGTGTAAAAATCAGGTTTCAAGAATTTGTTCACAAATGTACACCTTGTTTCTCTTGCTCAAACTAGTTAAATAATTTTATCTTTGGTTTGTTTGAGTCAGTTGAGCATATCATAATTTATTATTAGCCAATTAAACAAGGGTTTGATTAATATTGTTTCACAGGCTCCATGAAGGATAAGA